TATGCTGGTGGCCGCGAAATAGTCGAGGGTGGTTACCTCCGCACTTGATGTAACTAACTTGTAACTAACTATTTTTGGTCATATAATAGGAAAAATAAAATATTTTTTATTTATTTTTTTTATTACATTTCATATTTGTTTACATATTCTGCTGTAGGTGGTCCCATATTCGAACGGCGTCAGACATAACTTCAAAATGGTAATCTGAAATTTCGATCTTCCTTTTATTTGTCCCTCAATTCAAAAAAATATTTGCGAAGTGCAGGATATTTAAATAGAAACGCGTTTAAAGCAAACAATCTCCTGCATTACTTGTCAACTAGTTTCAAGTCAGCTTTTTGTAGCTAACTACAAATTACATATTGTATAGAACTCCCGCAAAAAAGCTAGAAAGTGGGTTATTTTTTATTAATTGATATTTTTTTTTCTGCAGGGTATATGTATGTATGTATATGCATACTTGCGTAAGTATAAACTTTGCAAAATTTGTTTTGCATGTAGCCTTTTTCGCAACATTTGCAGTAAGTAATTATTTTTTAAAGAATTTCAGACTTTTTCCGGTGGAATTTTTGAACAAACAAAGCGCCATTGACGAAGAAATTGAAAATAAATCTACGAAATGCTGTTTTTTTACTTTCAAAGTAGTACCCAAATATGACTTTATATGGATAATACTCGGATGCAATATTTAAAAAAATAAATAAATTATTTAGACAGAATATTTTCGAAAACTTGAGTCGTGAGAGTGTGGTTTCCAGAAGACACGACTGCATTCCATTTGAGGCATCACTAAGCCACACCGCTGTCACTGGCTTCATCTCTCTGACTCATTGCATTCCCAATGTAAACAATAAATATTTTTTTCACCAATTAAATTTTATGTTGTGCTATATTTAAAAATATGAACACCATTCGTATTTGTCACAGGCAGCTAACCTACATACAACGCCACCAACTAATCCCATATGGATATTTTGCTAAGTTTAATTATATTGAAATTGCGTGGGTGCATAAATATATATGTATTTATGTATGTATGTAAGATTATATTGTAAATTTCCTTATTCATTTTTTACATTCATCCATTTTAGTGTATGTATTTGCTAAGGTCATGAATTCATAGATTTTGTTTACAAATAAAATTTTTTATTCTAGAATAACCAATTAAAAACAAAGTAGACAACCCATCGCCAGCCAGCAGCTCATCGAATGCCACAAGGAGACAGTGAAATAAATTTGCTTATTATGAATACATATTTGCAAAAAAAATTTACACTTTTATTTTCTTTTCCTTCACATACATACATACATATGTACATATGTACACACATGCATCAACATTAACATTTGTGCGTTTGTTAGTGCCTGCATTATATCGACATTTCAAGTGAGTTAGAATTGTGACGTCACACTCTATAAAATATCGTTATTTCTAATACCGCCCACCATCTCACTAGCTGTGCTTCATCCCAGCTGCCATAGAAATATTTGTATGTATGTATGTATGTATAAATACATATGTGTACTTATGTATGCATGCATAGCAAATTCGTATTCATCCAAAACGCATGCATACGAATATAAAGATTTTACACTGAGGTTCGCCGATTTGGCTGGAACATTATGATTTTCACTTATTTAAGTCAATTAGTAAGCGATTATTAATTGCTATGATTTAGAATTTAACTGCTTATAAATACGGTTTTGCATTTCCTTAACTGGTCACTTACGCGTACCGGTTACTCCTACATACACTTTTCGAAGAGCAGTTACAGTAAATGAGAAAAATTGTAATGCACACAGCGTTGCCGCTTTGATAATTTTTAACCAAAATTGGTATTTTTTTTTCTTTATTTATCAAGTTTGATAATTTATTTTTCAATTTGGTACCTGTTTCGATTCGGTCTTACATGTCAAATAGGTCAATATTGGTTCTAATTTCACATTAGTAGTTGGACCGTAAGAGTTTCCTTTTTGTAGAAATACCAGGTAATCCTGAAAGTTTCGCAAGGCGAAAGTTGTTCCAGCGTTCCTTGGCTACTAGAATGGTGTGTTCTTTAACAAACTGCTTGAAAGTGCCTATTACTAAGTTTATCCACCGTTATCCCTGTCAGTTCGTCAGCTTTTCAATTACCATCAATTTTCCGGTGTACCCGGCAACCATATAAATGAATAGAATTCTACGTAAAAACTTATGTTCTCGTTCAAAAAGCTACGGCATGCAGCGGGGGACTTCACTCTGTCTATGTGTAAGTCGAAAGCTTTCCATAAATCGTTGAATTTTGGATATATTACCTTGTCACTTGTTTACATACAGTGGTCGAAAAAATTATAGCCGCACCATATTTTGACAAGTTTTAACATATTATTTTTTTTTTGTGAATTAATTTTGGTTATTTTTTATAAAAATATTGTTATTTCTTTAACAGAGCTCAAACAAATTCAAATTTCAAATTTTGTTCAATATCAGTTACATTCATAATCCGGAAATTCAAAATCCAGAATTTTGATTTGTCTGGCTTTTGATTTGTCTGTATTTTGATTGTCCGCATTTTGAATTTCTGGATTTTGATTGTCTGGATTATGTTATACACCCGTTCAATATTTTAAAAAAGTTAACAAAAAAATTTTAGGTTAATGGATATACATATCGAGCCCTAACCGCCAAAATAACGTAAGCGACTTTTTTTAATTTTATTTTTGATGCAGACATATTCCTAGAGCATCTAAATGCCTTTCTGCATCAAAAAGAAAATTTTGAAATAAAATGTCGCTTACGTTATTTTGGCAGTTAGGGCTCGATATGTAAGCGACATTTTTTTCAAAATTTTCTTTTTGATGCATAAAGGCATCTAGATTCTCTAGGAATATTTCTGCATCAAAAAGAAAATTAAAAAAAAAATCTCGCTTACGTTATTTTGGCGGTTAGGGCTGGATATGTATGTTTGTACAGTTCTGCACATAAAATAGGATTGGTAATTTTTTGTTGAACTTGGTAACTTTTTCCGGTGATTTTGGTAAAAAATAAAAAAATTTTGTGGCAACACTGAATGCACTTTACCCCAAAAGAGCAATTTTTGCCGATATGGTATACTTGTTTTGAGTGAAAACTCATGTGAAAACTATTTGCTCTCAAACAGTGTTTCAGTTGCGCTAAATATGGGTGGCAGGGAGAGTTCTCATCGCTAATGATCAGAATCCGGATAACAAATTTGCTTGCAAATACAACAACGAAGCACAGTGTTTTGACTACATGGATGGCAGGAGCATTCAGCAATTTCGCTGAAACTTTACATGTGCTCCAATATTTCTTAGAAATAGGGAATTAAGAAAAATGGTAAAGATAGGACAATTGGTTTGTACTCTCTCCATTAGAAACCATACATATATTTTTAATATCATAATTTTAATAATAATTATTTTTTTTTTATAAAAATATTTAGAATTAACCTAAAATTCAAAATTTGCATTATTTTCTTCATGCCACGAAATGCGACCCAACTGTTTGAGCGTAATTTCTCACACTCTCAATTTGTCGTTCTCCCTTGCTCAACTTTGAGCATTTTACTAAAGTATCTTCAAGCAGCGTTGCCACTTTGGTAATTTTTAACCAAAATTGGTAATTTTTTTCTTTATTTATCAAGTTTGGTAATTTGGTAATTTATTTTTGAATTTGGTAACTTTTTCGATTTGGACTTACATGTCAAATAAGTCAATATTGGTTCTGATTCCACATTAGTAAGGGGAACAAGTGCAGAATACCTGCATTTCTCTACTTTGAACTTCCATAACACCAGTAATTATTATTTCCCCCCAAAAAGAAAATTATACTGTTATGATCAGAACTCAGAGCCCCATCGATCCTAATATAATTTTTTTTAATTTGGTAATTGTAGGTATTCTACATTTAAGCCTATAGAAATACCAGAATGATGTGATCTCTAACCAACTGCTTGAAAGGGGCTATTGCTAAGTATATCCACCGTGTCCTTTCCTGAAAGGTTTTTGGTGGTCCTACCTTTCCCTGTCAGTTCGTCAGCTTTTCAATCACCATCGATTTTCCGGTGTACCCGGCAACCATATATATGGATAGCGTTCTACGTAAATACGTATGTTCTCGTTCAAAAAGCTACGGCATTCAGCGGAGGACTTCACTCTGTCTGTGTGTGGGAGCGCGGTTACCCACGAACGTGTACGTAGCGTAGCGTAGAAGTACGTAGAAAGATATTAAGTATGCTGTTGTTAAGAAAGAGAGAGAAGCAACGTCTACGTCACGGTCATGCGGTGGTGAGTTTTTGTTTACACGCAGATCCCATAAGATAGATTGTGTCAGCTGACATGTTCTCCGTTTTTACGTCCGTGGGTAACTGCGCTTTGAGTCGAAAGCTTTCCTCCAAGCGTTGAATTTTTGATATATTTTCTTGTTACTTGTTTACATACAGTGGTCGAAAAAATTTTGACAAGTTTTAACATATTGTTTTTTTTTTTGTAATTTAATTTTGGTTATTTTTTATAAAAATATTGTTCTTTCTTTAACATAGCTCAAATTCAAATTTCAAACTTTGTTCAATATTTTAAAAAAATTCAACAAACTTTCGTAAAAATTTTAGGGTAATGGAGCGTTGATTGCCTGAAAAGCTTGGTATCTTCGGATATACATATGTACAGACATATCGAGCCCTAACTGCCAAAATAACGTAAGCGACATTTTTTTTTAATTTTCAAAAGCATCTAGATGCTCTACGAATATTTCTGCATCAAAAAGAAAATTTTTAAAACATGTCGCTAGGTTATTTTGGCGGTTGGGGCTCGATATGTATGTTTGTACAGTTCTGCACATAAAGTAAGTTTGGTAATTTTTTATTGAAGTTGATAACTTTTTACGGTGATTTTGGTAAAAAATAAAAAAATTTTGTGGCAACACTGTCTTCAAGTGCGCAATGGAAAGCAACTGAATACGCCAGCGAATAAAAACCAGTGACTGAGTGAGATACAAATTAGTCTCAAAGTAGAAATCCAAGTGATAACTTCTCAATTGTGCGGAGCAAAAAAGTCGATTTGTGCAAAAGCAAATAATATAAGAGAACAGCAGAAAAGTTGACAAGTGGAAACGTAGTAAACATTAAAAGAAAATACACCCAAAAAGATAACCAAAATTTGTTTCGGCAAATAATAATTTTTCGTGAATAAATCAATAAATTTGTGTTAAGGAGTCCATAAAATGGCTGATGCTAACAAGAGGAATATCCCCATCAAATTGGGCGACTTCAGCATTATCGATACAGAATTCTCGAGCATTCGTGAGCGCTTCGATGCGGAAATGCGCAAAATGGAAGAGGAGATGAACAAGTTCCGGCATGAGTTGATGTCGCGCGAGGCAAACTTCTTCGAGTCCAGCAGGTGTGTACACAATGAAATGAAAAAGTTAAAGGATTGTACATATGTATGTAGGAAGAAAGGGTGGAATGGGTTTTCGTGTTTTCAAAAAAAAAAACAACCACGAAAAAACGTATGCGCGCATAGAATTATTTTTTTTTGTAAGCAGCTTCTGTTCATCAGCAGCGCTTCCAGTTCCTTTGCGCGCGAATTGTTCAAATTGTTGTGACATCTGCGCAGAGTTTCTATTTTGGCAGAAAAGCTACAGTTAATTCATACATCAGTGCAAAAGGCATTCGAATCGGCTATTTTAGTGTTTTTTTTTTGGTCTGGAACTTGACACCTTACAATTTCTCATGCATAACGTGAGTTTTGCTTCGCCCACTTCTGTGTTCGCGGTCGTATGCTGTTAATTAAGTGCTTCAATGTATGGAATTATGTCTCGTATCTTAGCACGCTGTTGTTGTGCTGCTAGACTAAGTGATAGTTGAGTCTATGAAAATCCCGCAAGAGTTTCAGCCAGCTCAGGTATCACACTTTCTCACACTCTATAAATGATTTGAAGCTACACTATAAGTGAAGATACTTCGGAACTGTGTTTAGCTGCTTATCTAACAAAAACCATATAAATAATAAATAATTTAATAAATTTCAAACTTTGCACAAAAATTTTAAAAATTGCAAAAATTTTTCATCCCAATTCCATGTATTTTAATTAGAATTTCTAAATTAATTTTTGGTATGCCTATTTATAGCTTATTAAAATCTAGCATAATCAAGTGACAGTTTGAAGTTGCTAAAAAATCGCATTGATTTTTGATATTTTTTTTTCTGACGGTGCTATGCACTTTTTCCTAATAAAAAATTACTTTTTATGGAAGAAAAGGCATGATACCGTCAGAAAAAAAAATTATAAAAAATCAAAGCGATTTTTCAGCTAAATACTTCAAACTTGCACTTTATTGTACTAGAATTTAATAAGCTATAAAACTACATACCAAAAATTATTGTAAAAATTAAAATTAAAATGCTCGGAATTGGGATGAAAAATTTGTGGAACTTTTAAAATTTTTGTACAAAGTCTGAAATTTGGATTTATATGGCATTTGTTAGACAAAGATCTATATTTTTATATAAAAACAATGAATATTAAACGAACAAAAGATACATAGTCAAAATTATTCAAAATGTTGAGGTGCTATCGTTTTGTCGCGGGCTGTATGCATGTACATACGCACATACTTATGCTCATTTAATAAAATACGGTCACAACTCAAAAACTAGACTTTTGAAGAGACTTGTTTAACTTTCCAAATTTCGGCCAAAACGTAAAAAAGGGATGCATAATTTCTTACACGGATACTAAATTCTTACATACATTAGATTGAAACACGAATTCATGTAACTAAATCGTTCCCTTAACTTATTTTTGTACCGCTTTATAATTTTTGCGAATTATGTACATATAAAAGTAATTCTGCATTATTTGCTCAAAAATGTAATTTTTTGAGTTATCTACAGTCTTTTAGTAAAAGAGATATGCAGTTGCGGCTAACGAACAGCAGCGCACATGTACATATGTACTTCTTTTTTCCTGCATTTTTTTGTGGTGGTAGACAGACATTTCTATTCTACATTGCGGCTTTTGTAGTGACAAGTACAGTGGATCGAAGTGGGGTTTCACAGTTTTTTTTTTTAACTACTTCTGATTACAGATGGCCGCGGAATATCGGTACCCGCGGGACCCACGGTAATAAAATCTTCCTAAAAACTGTTATAACTTTTGAGTTTTTGGAATGATTATTATTCTTAAGTGAAACAAATAGAAATCAATAAAAACAATAATAATAGTAACTACTATCTTTGAGGGAAAAAATAAAAATCAAGTAATAATTATTTCCTTTGAGTGAAAAAATAAAACTCAAATATTAATTATTATATAATAAAAATCATTGTAAATTCCAGTAGGACGTACGAACACAAATATGTGAGTATAGATAAAATTGTTTTACGACGATCAAAAAAAAGGTTATTTTCCATCCCTGTAAATAGTTAACCGCAATTGCTTCACTGTAAACTTGGCACGTCTGACTGATTTTCTATAACAACGACCTCCTACTTGGCGGCACGACATAGCATAGTGGAGAAGACAAAAAAGTAAGAAAAGAAATGTATTTCATTCCAGAACGTGGCTTGCGGGAAAAAATTGAGCTAGCAAAGCTACTTCTGATACAATTTAAATTGAATTTTTTGCCAAATGAGAATTTAAATAAATACATACCAGCCTTATAAGATTAACTAACAACTTTTGTGCACTTTCCACGATATACTTAAGGGTACATCACTCCATACAGAAAGGCTCAGTTCTGTTTCGCCAACGGAATTAAACAATTAATGATTTTTTTTAAATTACTCAAAAAATGTCGGAAAAATATTAAGAATTACGTGACCTGGACCGGTTTGAAAATACCACCAAAAATCTGATAATTTTGATACCATTGATAAAATTTTTAAATTTTTTGTCCACACCTTTTAAGCTTTGACTGTTCTATTGACTTTTTAGTAAAAAATGTTTATTAAAACTAATTTTGTTTATAAATTTTTCTTTGGAGGTACATATTTTCTAATCGATTCAGCTCATTTTTGGCAGAAGTCTTAAAATATAATAGATCTCATAATTCCAGCAATATAATACACTCAACTATAACTACGTATTGCTTGCTGATTACCTTACAGGGTACTTCAGTATAACTGAAGCATTGCAAATAAAACTATCCGCGCCACGTTTTTCGCGCCGATTTGCTACAATTTTCCATAGCTGCCCTGCAAAAAATTGTGCGACTAATCTCTAAAGAGAGTATTCCGGGATTACTCTCAATCGGGTACAATTGGGTATTAATTAGTCCCAACTAGTCTCATTCGGGTACTAATGGAGGTTAATTAGTCTCGACTCATCCCTTATGGGTATAATTGG